CCCCCCAGCGCTGGTCCGTCCCGAACTCGAGAAATAGTCCGCCAACGAAAGACAAACACGCCGCTTCTACGATGCAGCAGTGTACACAGTGCGAGGCCCCGCGTGCCCTCCAAGGAACAACCAAACGGGTAATATCACGCTAAGACTGTGCAGCCGGCCGAATTACTGATAGCATAAGGCTTGTCTGCCCACCTTGCGAAAGTGGTCCTAGCCTCAAACCAGGCGGTGGGCTCCGCGAAGTGGTCGACAAACCACAGGTGGAAGCACGGCTGCTGGACGTCCAGGATGTTTTGGCGGTACCTGCGCGAGAGGATGAGAGGCGCGTTGGGGGAGATGTACACAAAAAAAAAACGAACCTTGACACCCACAACCTCTCTCTCTCTCTCTCTCTCTCTCTCTCTCTCTCTCTCTCTCTCTCTGTCTGTCTCTGCCTCCTCTCTCTGCGGGTGTGTGTCTCTGTGTGTGTCTGTGTGTCTGTGTGTCTCTCTTGTGTCTCTCACATCTGCAGTGCAGTCGGCATCCCCGACGGCTGTGCGGCCTTGAGCTGAACCCTGTCGAGGGTAGTCCTCACCTGATAGAGCAACAAAGAAAACAAAAACAAACAGGGCACATGATTGCCACTAACGTGTCAGAAAGCGGGAGCTGAAAATACGCAGCGTACAGAACCTCACCAGAAGAGAGGAGGGGACTATAGGACAAGTATGGCGGCCGGGTGCAGTGAAAGGTTTCACGGTACTGTGATGATTCTGATGATACTGATGACATGAGGGTCCCATGGAACGAACACTCACAAAATATCTGTAGCTGTACGGGGTACCACATTCAAAGGGCTCCAGAGAGAGAGAGAGAGATGTGTGCAACATGAGTCAATACAATCAAGAGACAAGAGGGCAGCACCATGAATTGAATAAATTAAGAGACAAAACGGTCAAGATGGGGTACAAGAGAAGGGGTATGATAACATCAGGAGATACGCCAAAAAACAGGAGTGTGCGGCAAGGGAGGGAGAGGGATGACGGGTCTCATCAGTACGATTGTCTCTCCACCTGGAGTATTTGGGGTGGCTTTGCAGCGGGGATTGTCGAGCTCCGGGCTTTGATCTGGTAGGATTTGTGAACCAGGATGCGGAAGCCAGTCGTGTCCTAGTTCAAGAAAGCAAGACAAGGTCATTAAAAGGAGGTGTCAGATAACGGCGTGAGGGCGGGTGGGTGGGCAGCAGGTGCACACAGAGAGCATGAACAGCGATCAACGTTGTTTCTCTCGAGGCAAAGGACCTACGGTTTAGCTACTCAGCCAAGAACACCCCTTGCCTATCTTTGTCTCCACACTCAGTCGACTCTACACCCCTATCAACACTTTGGTGGTAATTTTTTGCCTGAAACGTCTTCCCACTTCACCTCAACCCACTCCAACACGCCACACTCTTCGTTGAGGCAGATAACCGCGTAAGTTCGGAGCCGGAGCTTCCTCGTACGCCCCGCTGGATTCTTCTGCAAGAGGCGGTTGATCATGCCGTTGAACTCCATGAGCCTCGCATCCTTCCTGAGATCTCCGTTTCGCTCCTGTTATAGGGCAGCCGTGATAATCGCGGGGCTACTGCTGAGACGGTGCCACGAAACTCATACCGCTTGGCTCGCAAGGTGCACCGGGCAACACCAACGGCGGGAAAGCGCACGAGGAGCAAATACAAAAAACAACACGCCCACCGCAAGATTCTCGTTGTTTTCCACAAGACATCTAAATTTCACGGCGGATGGTTCGAATCAAAGCCAGTGTGCCCACCGCACCAGGCAAACACCTCCATATTCATGCGCTTATTCCACATACTGTACGATCAGGTAGAAGAACTTCCGCACTACAACTGTGGTTTCGCCGATAGTTCTACCCGACATCGTTGAAAAAACTAGCTATCGTAGATTGCAACAGCTGCCTATCTCTTCCTTCTACCCCAGCTCAAGGCAAGCACAACAACAACAACAACAACAACAACAACAACAACAACAACAACAACAACAACAACAACAACAACAACAACAACAACAACAACGCACCTGCTTGCAGAGGAAGTGCACCTGCTCGCCCGTCTCGAGGGTCTTGAGGGACACCTTCTTGGGCTTGGCTTTCGAAGTCATGTACTTCACACGGGTGTGGAAGCACTTGATGTGCATCTGCGCGACAAAAACGACAATAAATCACAGGGTTTTGACACATCATGAAGACACCACTCATGGTTGGAGATGCACATATCATCTGCCACAGTTTTCAGCGGACGGAATTCAATCCTAAAATATCGCATGCAGAACATTTGGCACTGCTACATAATATTGCTGCGTAGCTCTTGGACGATAACACCGACATGGGCAACAGATAGAAGCATACTATACCACCTCATCAGTTAGTATACGAAACGAACGCCAACAAGAGGACAAGCCTGTGACCAAGAAACAACGCCGATCACAACGCGGGTGAACACAGACGCACAATACAACCGTACCTTATTGGCATTCCCAGAAAGCAATAACATATGTTAAACATACTATTTCTTCTCTCTCTCTCTCTCTCTCTCTCTCTCTCTCTCTCTCTCTCTCTCTNTCTCTCTGTGTCTCTCTCTCTCTGTCTCTCTCTCTCTCTCCTGCAAGCGCACACACCTCTCCCCCCGGGAAAGGGTTGTGCGCAGCAACCGCCGCCGCCGCCAACACCTCCGCCTGAGAGCACGGCACCTCTTCCGCGGCCTCCGCAGCAGCGGTGGCGGCGGCGGCGGCCGCAGCAGCAGCCCTGCCCTTTCTCCCCCCGCCGCCCCATGCAGCGGCTGTGGCGGTAGCATCCTTGCGGGGTGCTTGGGGAAGGCTCACGGTAAGCGCCGCCTGTTATTTCGATCGTAGAATCGGCACGGATGTCAGTTACGCAAGAGCGAGGCCGGAGGAGGGGCGGAAGAAGAGGGGAAAGTGCTGACTGAACGAGTTGGGGCACAGCACTTTGTGGTGGCGAGATCGACGGGAAATGGGTCCCGGGGGGTTGCAGGTGTGACACGTCCTCAATCTACTCCGCACACAAGAGATCAGATCAGCTCCACCTGATATTGATCCGTAGGCATCAAAGTACTTGCAGCTATAATGCTGTGCCTGTAAACGTCTCCCCCCTCCCGTTCCCGCGTGAACGATTTAGAAACCTACATTCCTAAAATGCCGTAGAACAAAATCGCACGATCCGTCTTGAAGGAAGGCCAAGAAACGCAGTCAACATTTCCTCGAACTATCGCTATTTGAATAGTAGAATCTGGCTGGTTCTCGCCTGCACTGGTACGATGAAGCGATGAAGGTCCATCCGGTGTCCGATCTTGAAGTGGGCTTCCTTTAAGTTCTTTGGTGGCTGCTCCTGCGCCACTGTGATAAGCTCCGAGAACAGCGCTTGGCCATCCTGGAAATAGAAAGTATTAGAGAGGCGTGTGTTGCTCCAAGAAATAACGACAAGACCGTATCTGCTGGTACACATGATGAGGTACTGCTGGCAAAGAGAATAATGGTTTGGAAAAAATGAAAAAAACACGTCACTTCATCAAAAAACAGTAACAGCAGCAGTACCCCGTCAGTGGGAGCGGGAAATCTGGTGCATCATCGTGCGCCTTTTTCTCGTTCTTCTTTCTCCTATACAGGCAATTTTTCCGCGGTTGCAAGACATTCCCGCGTGGCGCGGACGCGGACTTACATGCTGGGGTGGGATCTCATTCTTCGCGTGAAAGGCAACTAACTTCAACAATGGCAAAAGGAAGGAGCGAAGAAACCAACGCCGATACGCCAACACCATCGAATCTAATGACATGCCCACCTGAATAGCAACGGCTTCCCCCTGCTTTCCCTCCGCATCTAGTAGACGCCTCGCCTGTTCGAACACCTGGTTGCCGACCTGTAACGTTTCAACATACGCGTTGATGATGACAGCGATGTACTCACGATGATGACGGTGATAACAATGGCAGCAGAGGTGGGTAGCACGAGGGTGGAGAGATTCAAAGTGAGGTCAAGAAAAGTGGGAGGGAAGGAGCGGAAAGATGCCTAGAGTATGCAGAAACACGACAGAAGCAGACCACGAAGGTCCTATGGAGCGACTCGCTGGCCTGTTACAGCAAGAGCAAGATCCCAATTTTCTTCGACTTAATAATGGCGTGTCTTGGCGAAAGGCCAAGAATAACGCTGCAAGACGAAACACAACAGGAAAAATTGATATGTAGCGTTGTGGAGGCCACGCAGATTGTGGTACACCGGGGAGGGAAAACAAATACAAGGCGCCCTCCCGGACGTATATAACAAAATACGCATTCTCCAAGCAAACAAAAAAAGTCCTGAAAATCTACAACCGCCAAAATCAAACACGCCTCGGTCCCACACCGGTCCTTCTTGGATGCACAGAGATCAGCGCCACCCACAATTCAAAACGAGACCGCTACTAACCAAGCCAAAACAAACACGGTCCCGCACAACACCCAAACCTGTCGACGGCTTTCGCTGATTGACAAACACAGGCTGGACAGGTGCCACAGGGCCTGCTTGGGATGCGCCCTGAGGAGCATAGCCAGCGCGTCGATGATCACCCTCAGAACATCCTCGTTCGGGTGTCCCACACTGTTATTTGTGTGCATAGGAGTCACGATAATTCGACGCGAAACGTAGATGCAGCGCGCGAGGAATGACAGTTCGGCGTGTCAGATCATTGGACTCTGTCGTCTGCCCCTCTGGCCCCTATCCTCCATATCTACTAGCTAGACGACCCAACCGGGGTCACATAGGAGGGGGGGGCTGGACCCCCTCCTGCGGTTCCTGCCTGAGGTATTTTTATCGCGAGAAGGGTACAGCAATCCCTTCCCTCGAGACTTACGAAGTCGATTATGGTTTACTAACATATGGGAGGTGTCGGACAACACGCGCAGATGCCGGGGGATAAAACCGAAAATCACGAGCAAAGAGTAAGGTTCTGTTCCGAACAGAAGCAACGCGTAGGAAAGCGGTGAGGCATAAGTGAACAGCGCCAACCTCTGCATCAGGTTCTAGGTTGGGTTCGCTTGAGGTGGCCCATAGGGAACGTCAAACGCACTGCGCTGAAGACTGCGGACAGAACAGGTACCCCCCCCCTTCTTGAGGACGCGCGGTCAATGGTCTGCAACAGCTACGGCATGCAAAACATGAGTACTCCCCCCGCGCTCCCCTCCAACCGAGAGAGCACCTACACGGTATTGCTTCACTTGTCCTTGCGAGAAGGAAGACGTGAACACCCAATTACTTGTGGAAACCTGAGAGATCATACCGGGATGTGAGCTGCGGCAGAGCCGTGTACCACATGTAGGGAGGGATGGTGCGCACAGCCTCCTTCACGAGAGCGGTGCTGTCGGTCTGGAGCTTCGGCACAATGCTCTTGGCCTGTAGTTGGTTGAAAATTCGAGCATCGGTCGTTCTCAGCTTGCATGACATGCATATGGTGTTCTTGATTCCATGTGGAGAATCGATGCATGCGCATCAACGGTATCGCATTATATCGCATTGACGGGCCGACAGCGGGATCAAATATTGTTCGTAGGACGTCAACAACGAGTTAAGGAAGGTGGCGCGCAAAGCACAAAGCGTACCAACACTGCAAGCAAAAACGCCAACGACCACAAACAACACGAGAACAACCACCATTAGCCAGCAGCAGCAGCAACAGCAGCAGCAGCAGCAGCAGCAACAGCAGCAACGACGACGACATTAAAATCAACGGTAACTTACTTGGGCCACCGGACGCTTCTTGCCCTTGGCAGCCGCGGCGACAGCCTTGGCGTTGGCACTCTTACCACCCGCACTCCTAAGGCGCGGGGCTTTCTCCTTGTCCTCCACCGTCGATGGATCACGCAAAAACCCGACCTTTCAATGACGATGCGCGTAGAACGGGGCACAGCGAGATGTGAGGTTACCGGGTTATCCTGGAAATAGACATGCGCACGTACAGCTGCTGTAGGTTATGGAAGGGGAGGAGGGAGCGCGGGGGATATTCATTCTGCGGCGTAGTCGTCCTATCGAATACCGTCGCCCGCATGTACATACGAAGGATACTGCGATCCGGAGTCACACACAGAACAAATACAATACCTCGATGTGCATCCTACCAGAACAACAGCTCAAGAACAAGTGTACTGGAGCGACATAAATCGACGAATCCAACCCATTCACGGGGATCTGCAGTAGTGCACTTCCGTAGTACCTGAAACCAGAGAGTGAGCAAGCGCGGCATGCTCTGGAAGATGTACTTGGCGCCAAACTGTTGAGAGAAACAAAACAAAACAAAAACACGGGGGTCGGGGCGAGTAACAGACGTGCGAAAGAAACAGAGGGTTGTGGTTTCTAAAATTGTGATAAAAAAGGGGGTCGGTGGCCGAGACGCAAGAAATGCCACGCATACGCATGAGGTCGCTCGGTTGCGCGTTGTTCGTGAGCAGTGGCTGTGGCAGTGACAGTGGCAGTGACAGTGGCAGTGACGCCATTTGCCCCACGACAACAAAAGAAACCAACACAACGAAGGGTCGAGCGAGGACAAACGCAGAACGAATGAAGAGACGGGCAAAAAGAACGCCGGCTTACCCTTGCCTACAAGACAGTAGGTGGAGTACGACGGCGCAGAGCTACCCTCGTTAGCATCGAGAGTAGATTCCAGCGAAATTACAGAGACATATTTTCGTAGGGACCCGTCATCACTCCACTAAAATAACGCGCAGAAGGAAGGCGGTGGGCTGCAAAATGCAGCATGTGAGTCTTAAAAACAGAACGTACCCTGAGGCTACGAGAGTAGTTCTCCATTGTCTGCAGGGCAAGCTTGTGTGCCAGCTCGTCTCCCGCCCACCCGCCCCTCGGTGCTGCGGTCTTCGGCTGCCTGCCGTTACCCTTGCGCTTGCCCCCCCCACCTCCCCCATCGCCGCCGCGATTCCCGCCCCCCCCACACCTCGCCGCCAGCCGCTGCAGCTCTTCGACCCTGGAAACGACCAAGACATCAAGGTACGAGGGCAATCCTCTCAACGCTGATGAACCGGAAAACATTAGCCAATGTACGCAACACGTAGAGGGAATTTAGACGTATGACGGGGAGCCGAATAAGGGCCAAATGCTTTCCGTCACAACAACTAGCAAAGTCCGGAGACGAGAACGAAAGAAGAGGGACAGCATTGCACGACTTGCCCTGGTCCGACGCTACACAGTAAGACGGCGTGGTATTCTACACACTGAACACGTTTAATGTAGCACAGATGCGCATGGCACATAGGAGAGGCTGTGGCATGTACACATCCAAGTTTGTTTCGAAAAGAACAACAAGATTCTCCGTTGATACCAAAAGGTAGTGTTGGAAACATCTCGCCAAACGCTAGCCGAAAATAAATACCCAGGGTTTGATGCACTTCTAGCGCTGGAGAAACGGGGCCGACCCTTGATATGCAGAACAGTTCGCAAGGGTCGGCATGGGAGAAGTGGGCGAGCGCGGGCCATAATCTGGAAAGTAAGCCACTTCTTAAGCAATGCAACGTGTATGTTTTTCGAGATGGGAGATAGGCTGCGACCTCACCTGGACTTGAAGAGGAAGTCGACGTACTGCCCCAGGCAGAAGTAGCCCTTCTCCCAGCCCGGCCGGAGCTGCAGAGCAAGCTTGTACCTGGCGACCACGGCCTACGTCGTGCCGCATCGCATCGTTCGATTGCCGCGAGTGTTCCCGCCAGTAGCCGACGACCACCAACAATGGGAAAAACCGCGAACAAACACGAAACGAACAACACAACGTGCAAACAAACACAAAACGCTCCTATGGGAGAGCAACACAGGAACGAGGCAGAAGATAAAAAGAAAAACCGTATATATGGGCTGCAGGCCTTGTGTCTCTCGTGAACAAGACCGAGCATCCCAACTTGCGGTGCCGAAACCGGGAAGAGATCCGCGAAACGGTCTAAACAAATACACCATGCGTTCCCTGCACGGAAATATTGAGTTTCTATACATGCACTCTATAAACGGGCAGATGAGGTATATGCAACATGCGACGTCTCCCCTTTCCCAACAGGTAAAATAGAGATTCACCGAAAAAAGCAACCCTCCTTCGCATCTCTTTCCTCGCCCTCTCGCCTTTCCAACACCCACCAACGATAATTAATTGAGCCTCTCGAAACCCGACACATGGATACACATGTGGCGCGTCATCTCCTTCACCTGCCCGTGCTTCTGTCCAGCCTCGACGATCCACTCCGTCGTGAGGAGAAGCTTGCGCGCTAGCTGCAACCTCTCGTCCCCGTCAATATCCAGACCGCTCCGCGGCAACGACGAGGAAGAAGTGCCAACACCACCGATCGTCGTCCCACCTGCTGTATCGTCAACCAGGAGAACAGCAAAGTAGCACCGATTTCGCACAAAAACGTATACAAGCAAGCACGGGTCAGAGATGGGTGCCGGATAGGCACGCTACAGCAGACATCCCGGCAACATGTAACCTAGCCCTGTTGCTACTTCCGTCTTGAGAGCTGCCGTACAAAACGACAAGGACACTGTTTTACTCAGACTGTACTGAAACTACGGAAAGCATCAGCCTGCTGCTGTACTCGTTCACGTTTCCCTCAAGGGTTTGACAGGGAAGTCCATAGAACGCCCCCCAACGCATAGTGCCACACCTTCCATCATCAGCACCATACTTGTGCTCACACTTTGAACGAGCGAAACACAACTCTTCGCACACGAACTAACGAACGACTCGTGAAGTGCGTGCCCGCCCAGCAGGGGTGGAGGGTGTCCGCCAGGAGCTAGCATTGTACCAAGGATGACACAGCGCCACGTTACATACTTCATCGGTGAGATCTGGCCCGGGTACCGTATTGTGAGGACGGCGTGTTGTCGAAAGTGGCATCCTCTCTCATTCGCGTGGAAACAAACGACTCAACACTCTGCTTCTTTCCGAGGAGCACGGCAAGCGGTTTCGCGGTGCACTTACCACGACTCTTGCTGATAGTACCCTTGACGGTGAGCAGCGCTTTCAGGCTGTCCACGTCCGTCTCCACAGGCTCCAGAATCACCAAGGCGCGGTGGACCTGAACCGAAGCGGTTTAAGAAATGAACAAGCATGTGAGCTCGAACGCAGAAGAAAAATTGTACTTGTCTGGCCAAGACTACCACACCAACCTCCAGTGCCCACACGCGACCGACCGATCTCGTCCCGTTCCATGCCATCTTACCCCATACCATTCAATTTCGACTTGCCCCATACGGCCCAAAACATGGGATCAGACGAGAGATCGATTGGAGCTATCTCATTACGGTTGCCGCCTCACCCCCCATCTACAAGCATCACCAAGCATCACCAACGACCCCCCGCTCATTGTAACTCACCCCTTCTCTCTCGCGCGCGAGCTTGGCCTCCTCGAACGCCAGCCTGTCCTGACATACCCCGAGCCTACCCGCGCGACGCAGGGCCGCCCCGGCCACCGCGAACTGCCCCGCTGCCCGCGCCCTCTTGGCGAGCTGCAGCCAGTTGTCGGCCTGCGGGCCCTCCAGCGAGCACAGCTCGAACGCCGCGCGCCGCAGCTTTTATCGGTGGCGGTAGCGGCGATGACGACAAAGTCACAATTGTGGTGTCGTTAGCATGAACATGACACATTGGTACATTTGGTTTGTTGGTGTGGTGTTGATTGTTGCCGTATTTGGGCCGTTGTCATAGCAGTTGTTGTTGGTGCTGCCCACCGTGTTCGGGTATTTTTCGTCGCCTTGCCGCTAGATGGCCATTTCTTATCCTCACCGCAAGCACCGGCGCCAGTTTTCTCAAGGACGCGCCCATCGCGGACAAGCGCTGCTCCCAGCCAAGGCTCCGGAGTGCCTCTTGCCTCTTTGCCGGCTCTCTATGCCCGTGAATCGCCTCGAAGGCCTGTTCCGCTTCCCTGCACATCATTAGGCGGCAATATTGATAACAACGACAGAAGCAGCAGCAGCAGCAGCGGCATTGGATTAGATGCGGAAAAACAACATCAAACACAAGCGCATAAAAACAGTAGTTTCCTTCACGGCGGAAAAAACACAACCCGCCGCAACACATCAGACGCCGCAAGGCAACACAAAAACTCTGAGAATCATACGGGCCGACACAGGTTTGTAGACGATATACACGCCGACAACACCGACGAGTACCCATGTACACACCGCAGGTTTTGCCTGCGTTCTTCCTTCTTCATCCGCAATCGTGCTTCTCCCCGCCCACTCGACAAGAATCGTACCTGAGACTGTGCAGCTTGAGCAAGAAAGGGTATGCCCTCCGGTAGGACTCCATGCTGGCTGCTCCCAGCCCGGCCATCACGTCCGCCCTGGCCTGGGTGATGGCTGCGGCGAAGGGCGCTGGCCGGGCCTCCTCCAGTCGAAGCATAACCTGTCGGATTGTTTTCGTTGGCATGTGCCATCGGTTCTCTTGCTCTCGTTTCGTGTACTGTAGTTTCGAGCTCAGTTCAGGGTGTTCCAAATCGATGTGCAGCACTTTACCGCGAGACGTTCGATGGACTCACTATGTTGCGCGGTGATTGATCTCTAAGTGGGGACTCCACAGCGTCTCAAGATTTTTCCTTTCCATGTTGTGATGTGGCGACTGGCCCTTAGAAAGTGAAAGTTTCCAGAAGCTCGCTCACACAGCGACTGTTGAGTACGCTTGTGTTGAGCGGAGTCAAGATGAGTGGCGCTTAAGTGGCCACGAAAGATACTTGAGGGAGACCGGTGACTACCACACGGAGCCAACAGCAAGGAAGAAGCAATCGGACAAATGCAGCAGGTGGCCCGGTATAATGCCGGTGGTTGACAGCCGATTTCATCGGCACTATAGCGGGAGACCGGCAATACATGGAATCGGCCTCTTTAATGCCGGTTCCGGCATTACTGAGGGTCTGAAAATTCCGCTAGAATGGCGGTACCGGCACCACATAGGAAACCGTTATCGTCGAATCACTACCGTCGAGTCATTCAATACGAAAACGTGTAGCACACACCGCAAGTATCAGGTGATGGGGGAAAAATGACAGTGGATACTGTGACAGGAGGGTTGGTAAGCATTCCGCGATCGAGAATATTTCAGAGGCACGTGCATCAAAGGGCCGTATGTTTGCTCATCCCTCCATGCATCTTTGGCTCTATCCCCTGACTTATTTCATTTTTGGAGAGCACGAACTCTTCCTTGACGAATAAAATATAAAATTTACCTCTGGTGCCTTCCCGTCACTCGCAAAACATACCTAAAAATAATATCGTACGCAAATATCGAGAAAGAAATAGTAGTACGAAAATAAACATTTCAAAACACCCATGTACGTGCCGCACAACCGACGAATACTCGCTCACATAGATCAAGAAAAAAAATAACAGAGGAAATCCAAACACCTACTGCTCCACAAGTCGCAGAACGCAAAACAGATCCAGATCGAGTCTCCGGGGGCGATTTCGTCTGCTCGATTTTGCAACGAGAGGAATTTATCGATAATAATGCGAGACCGTCGGTAAAATGTACAGTTGACAACGTTTGGTCTGCAAAGCCACACTTCGTTCGGCGCTTGTCCCCGTCGCTGCTGCGCAAGCGAACAACCGGCTGTAAAAGAACGCCTTGTGAGGCGTGGCATCGCCCTTGGCATGCGATTCTCCACACCAAATCAAAAAAGGTCCCGTCCCGCTCACCTTCCCAAGTGCTAGCCGGTAGCGGCTCTCGCCCGAGAGCTCGTCAATCACGAAGGACGGAGTGACCGCCGCCCGGCCCGCTTGCAGCCCACGGAGGCGCCCACCGACTGCGTCAACTCCGGCTTTGTTCTGCATCGGAAAATTAAAAATGAGACAAGCAGCGCCGCAAGAAACGAGGAGGTTTACAGTAACAGGGTCATTTCCGGGTACCGTGTACCTCCCGTTCTCTTCCCGTCCTTTTCCCATGAGCTACACAACCTCAAAAACTTTAGCCTAGACTGCAATACACCACCAGTCGAGAGAGTTTCCCCAGGCAGCAGAGTTGGACGCGGCGGAGAGGGTGGTGGAAGGAGAGCTATTGGTCAAGATGCTTGTTCTCATAGTCAGTACAGTACCGAGAGTACGTGAACGGCAGCAGTGGATCAACCGTAGCGTCGACGACGTCCCGTCCATTTTCAACACCGCAAGAGCTCAACAGGAACAGCAGCAGCAGCAGCAGCAGCAACAGCGGCGGCGCACCTGGTGAAGAAGATCCTGCAGCAGAGGCCATCTCTGTAGTCTCCACGAGGCTTCCACAGCTACGGGAAGGAGCAGCGGCGCCAAGTGTTGCTTGCTCGGCACGCTCAGCATACCCGAAGCCTGCAAAGATGGACACGCCCAACAAGGCAAGGAAATAAACACAAAGTGTGAACGTTGATCAACATCGAACTTTCATCAAGGACGCTCAAACATGCAGGTAGGTAATGTCCAACGTGTTGCGAGACGACTAGATGCGCAATCGCAGTTGTTAGACAACAATATACCAGCACTGTAGGAATACGAGAACAACATCAACTACAAGAAGGTTCCGCCTTCAAAGCTGGAGACAATATAACGAATTAGACCCTCGTACGGTTTGGTCTGCCGCAGTTGGTTTCAGGCGTAGCGCTGCACACAACGATGCGACCTATGGTTTTCAAACGTACGCCATGCTTGACAACAACACCAACAACAACAACACCGACCACAAAAATGTTGCTCCACACCTGATGGAGAAGCATCTCGAGGTGCCCAAGCTCCACGAGGGCGTTCAACATCCCTCTCTCCACCTCTCCTTCCTCCCACCCATCTCCCTCGAGCCCTTCTCGCCCATCTTTCCCTGCTTCTTCTTCTCTCGATCTCCCTTTCCTCTTCCCTTTCCCTTTCTCCCCCGCTTTCCTCCCACCGCTGCCCTTGTCTTTCTCCTCTTCATCGTTGTTGCCTCTGGCGAGGTCGACGATTGGCTGGGTTGTTTGCACCGTGCCGGCCCGGGTTCTGGAGGTCTGGGCCGCCATCTGCTCGTACCTACGATTTGCACACGCAGTGAATAGGTGCAATCCAGGATGACTTCGGGGAACACCGTAAGCATTGGATCCTCGCCAACCATACGCCAGGACGTACGATGAGTAGTTAGTTCTCCGAAGGCATCACCACCTGTCTCGCATCGCAGCAAACACCGTCCTCCCGCATTTGTGACTAACACATTCAAGAGTGTTGACAAAGCGTGTTCTAAAACCAATCTGCGTTCGCGTCGTCCTGCAAATTTCCTCACCAACAAATCGACATCCCCCTTTCCCTGCTTGTCTCGAGTAGTTTGGGGGGAAATTGTTCTTCGGTCGGCCTACGACTCAAAAATGGAATTGCTTTCTACAGTGTGATTTTCTCGAGGCGTGTTTCATCCAGCGCAGCGGCCGAATGGACAACCATGGAGGCGCGCGTGTCGCCTGCCACCACCACGCAAAGCACCGACAACTCGGAAAGTTAGAAAATGGCCTCCCCCTTCTCGTTCGTGGAACACAAACATACGCAAACATTCTTCTGAGAAATACATGGGCACATGTCCAAGGGATACAAGGAAAGGAGGGCGAACATCGGGAGGCACATTCCCATCTCCTTGTCTCTTTCGTGGGTCGCAGTGCCAGGAACATCCCCGTATCTTATAACCAACTACGTTTAGGCCACCCCACACCTGTCCTGCATCGGGTCGGCCCGCCTCGGACGGGGGGTTTGACTGCGCGCCATCCCCTTGCGATTTAGAGCACGCCCACCGAATTGTACCAACTCCCGTTCCTGCAGTGCCTGCTCGTACACCTGTACGAAACGATCGAAGGAGCGCACGAAAACAGAAATATGTGATTCGAAGCAGGGAATATTGTAAGCATGCAGGGCAAATTGTGGCGGATGGGCAAAACGTGGTTGGTCTTCTGGCCGAGTTTGGGCAGAAGCGAAGCGGTTTCATGATCAGCGTGGGATACGACGTTGAGATCGTACAGCATGTGCATACGAGACACCACCACCAACAGCAGTAGCAGCAAGGTGCCATCATACCTCTAGGGCGCCCGCCCAATCCTCGGCGTGCTCGTGTTGCCAGGCCCGCTGCTTCAGCGTCGCCGCGACTCCCGCGGCGCCACGCATGACGTCCAACCCCACCATTCCGTCCGGCTCATCCGACAGCGTGCGGTAGATTGCCTTACAAAAGCGGAACACCGTCCGCGACAAAACGTCGCATGCATGAACAAGCTCGCACAGAGGTCATCATGAAGTGCATCATCACCAGCTGTGCAGGAAGGCATCACAATCGTCATCATCAACAACAACTTGTGCTACACCGACAGCATCAAAGAGAGACTCGTCACCACCCGAAACGTGGGTAAACGTGAGACCAACACACCCCAAAAAAAGCGGTCGGGAGAGACAACCGCAGAGAGCGAGAGAGAGAGAGAGAGAGAGAGAGAGAGAGAGAGCGAGAGAGAGAGAGAGTAACGGACGAAGCAAAAGAGCCATGTCCCCACCACAGTGCTTCACAGATAGCAGTACAACCTTGAAGGTAAAAACATACGCACGACGCGTTCCGCAACACGTACACATGAGATTGAGCATATAGCCGCCCTCCATCCCAGGGCAGCGCCACTGGGGTTCACAACGAGGGTACCCTAGGCTATAGTAGTCCGGCTAGGTGCCACCTTTACCTGCAGTTGGTGTAATTCCGCCGGATTGAGCACAGGCAGCGTTCCGTTAGCGCCGTCGTTGCGGAACGCTCCGACCAGGCTCGCCGCCTGAACAAGAAAGAGTATTGAAGAAGAAGCGGTACAGCTTATTGAAGAGGTCGGGATATGTGAGCAGAGTTCAGAAGACACAGAGAGCCAGAGGGAGAGAAAAGTAGAGAGAACGTCAAAAATCAGCAAGCGAGGTAAAAAAATCATAGCGAGCGCAAGAGAAACGAATGATGTTGTAGTGACGAAAAGAAAGAAACCCGAAAAATGGCGGAGAGAATTTCATTGGTTGGAGCACAAAAATGACGGAGAGGATCGGCCAAGTTATATGCACATACACCAATGTCTATCAGCGGAGAGGGAGATCTCATGCTCGTGTTAGTTTTTCTGGCAATACGACCATTCTAACCATGAACACCCACGCTCTAACATTGTGCGTGAATCGCGATTGAAAAACACAACCTCCCGCGACTTATCAAGGCCTTCACAACGGGTCAAAGACAAGTCAAAAGTGCTCACTGGAGAAAAACTGCACGGAAAACGTGCAAAAACACTACAAACACCAAAATCACGCACGGATCGTCTCCCCGTCGCTGTTCGTCTGGCCGCATGCTCTGTTCGAATCTGTTCCTCGAGGTACCGCAAAGCCCTCGTATACGCTCGGACCCGAGTCGCGGCCCCGACCAGAACCCCTCTTGGAACGCGCCCAACGAATTCCAGCAGGGCCCTATGATACACGGTAAACAACAACAAAAAAGGAGGGGGAGCCAGGGATGAGGGGAGAGCCTAATCGTGACGACCATAGGTTTCCGACCAATGACCTTGGATCCTTGTCTATCCCAGAGCAGTGTCGAGTAAAACCAAGCGCCGAGAGCTAGCTGTGAGGCGAAGCGGCGAGCCTCATTGAGGGTGAGGTGCACGCTCGCTTGCGAGGAGGAAGGACTTCGGCACCTTGTGCGTACGTTTGGCGCATGTGGATGATAGGGTCCAGACTATTCACTTCCTTGTTGCTGTGGCTACAGAGAGATCAACGAGCAATACGTAACGGCCTCGAGGTACAAGGCCATGGATGTTACGCACCACTATACGACGATCACCTCCCGCGTGCGTGAAGCTAGGTTCCCCCCCCCTGCAATGACCCAACTCGGCCGATTTCCGTGGTTACTGATACTGATACCACAACCCTGGTAACAACGTGCTTGCCTAGCTTACGCAGCGAAATTGGCGTGCACGATGTCGTTGGTCTAAATGCTTCAAGGAGATTTGTATTCCTAGGCACACGTGCTTGACTCGCCTCTTCCGCCGCTCCGTCCAAAACTCCGAAGATGGTTCGTGGAAGAACAGACCTACAGACCCCAGTTGGCACCTTGTAAGAAACAAAGGAAATGCAACACGCTGAGGACCCGAACAGAGCCACTACTTTTATGCGCGCGAATGCACTCACGCTCTCCGCACAGGAACGTCGGGCCACCCCGCGCTCCCGGCGGCTCCCGCTCCGCCGCTGCGCCGCTTTCTCCCGGCTGACCAATGACCGAGGCGATCGAGCAACCGAAACGTGGCCTGAGTGGCAATGTGCTCGATCCCCGCGCTCCCCTTTCCCAAGCCGGCGGAACCGCTACGGCCGGCACCACCGCGGCCACGACCAAGAGTGCGCGTGAGGGGCGATGCCAACCGACGACGGCGGACGCTTCTTGTGCTGCCAACGCTTCGAGCGCCGCCGACGCCGCCTGCGCTTCGGAGCGCGGCCGTTACCCGCAGGCGCGAAGACGAGAAGCCAGCTGACACGAGTCCGCGCGAACGTCCTGTCCCTTTTCTTCTTGTTGATGACCGGCTTGAGCCGGTTTGTCGTTTCGATGATGTCGCACCGGCTGCGGCAGCGGCGGCGGCGGCGATTTTGGCGGCGGCCGAGCGAGGAGCAGGGGTACGGGCGGCGGTCGGAGTGGCAGACGATGACGGTGCCGGCGGAGACGCCGCACACATGACCGCGAGAACCTCATCAAGGACCTTTTTCGATTGGCACGGGGGTGTGGAACGTTCACAACAGAGGGTCGGTGCGGTGAACAGAGATACAGGCAAGGAACACACAACAAACAGATAGACGATTAGATATAGAGGAGCAAGGAA